GACCATACGCCAGCTGTCCATATACCCCAATTCCATAACTTCTTTGGTACCAAAACACCCAATTCTCACCAAGAACCCCGAGGCTTTCAAACACATTGCAAGGACCGTGGATTGACTGTACCGCCGGTATTGATGGGGCGGTATTTCCAACTGCCAAATCTTGTGCCCACTATGGGTTGAAATTTTGCAGTGCCGTGGGCGCATCAGGGTGCGATTGATGGAATCAGAATAGTGGTTTCCCTCCATCAAAGATCCAACTCTGATTCGTAAGGCCCTCCGGGCATCCCTGGTACCTGAGAAACAAAGGTGTCCTCCCACAGTACTGAACCAAAGAGGATACGAAAATGATTGCGGTGTCCGAGTCTTTAATTTTTAATCAGAATCGTGAATATGAATGCTTGGGATTTTTGCTCAGAAGAGTGCGTTGAGACCGTGCGGGTCTCCCGAAAACACTTGATTTGACATAAGTATCGGGATCGTTCTACTGAGGAACCCAGTTTCCCAGAGGAATCCCTCGAAAAGGGTTCCCATGAGTGATGCCAGCAGCAGTTTACATCGGAGGCCGCGGTTTTCATATAAAGCTGGGCCATAAAACTCCTGATCATGAATGTAATTAGATGAATGGTTTACTGTATATAAGCTGTTCAGAATTTTTGCGCAAGAATTAATTCTAGAAAAATGAGCCAGGCAATATTTCAATCATGCAATTGATAGTGGCACAATTACTATCCTCTGGATATTGCTAGAAATATTAGGCATGAGATTTTTTCCCATTGTCTTGGATATTTTACCAATGCTTAGGACGAGTGGAGGGTGAATACTAAAGATGAGTTGAACTCCATTAAAAGGATACGCGTTTGGACTGTGACCGGAAGTCACTCGGCATCGTGACAGAAGAGATTTGCGGCGCTCTATCATCATGTCGTCCATTCACCTCAAACACGCCAAGCTCTGGCAGACAAATGAATTCAACGCGGAATGGATCCATAACGGGGTGGAGTATTGTCGCAGGGACCCGGATGGGAAGCGGGATTTTGAAGAAGCGTAAGTTCATGTGGGTCGGGTTGAGGGTGGAATACGATGGCAAACATTTTCAGACTTATCGCCAAGTTTGGACCTGGAGAGGCCCGGAGAAAACTGCTACTTTATGCGGAACCACCCCGGCGCCGAGTATCTAGGTCCCCGCCCGCAGACGGTGTCTGGTTGGCGCAGGCGGCAGTGAGTCCCATTACTTTTCTCCTTGGGCTCATAAGCTGAGTCCGTAGTTTGATTTAGGCATCCATAGTGCTCCTTGTGTATGTTCCAACTGACGAAGCGGCTCAGGGGTGTCGACGGAGGCTTTAACCGCATACACGGAACACGTGAATATCCACGAGCTGGTTGTCCCGCCACGGACGAAACCACCCATCAAGCGCAGACGAGGGGAGGGATCCATCTCGTGGCTTTCCCGAAGACATGGTTAGCGCCACAGTCTTTGAGCATAGCCGGCGTTTTTCTGAATGTCGGCTGCGGTTATCGTTAGAGGCCCATTTGGCCGGTCACAAAGTTCCTGAGATGGACTGGGCCACCTCCCGAGCACTGGCGATATCCGAGTATGTGAGTTGTCTCCGTTAAAAACGCTGTGCTACTGCGAATTTCGGGTTAGGACAGAGTGCGGGATACTTGGGAAGTTTGGCACACCAGTCCAGAGCGTTTCTTTGACGAGATCCATCAGCGGGGGAAAACAACAATTTTATCACCTGAAACTTTAGCGAACCCCGACAAGGACTGGGTGCGATGGCATAAATTCGACGATGCTCTTCGTGGCCGCGTATACTCTCTAACTGTACGCCATGTGAACAATGAACTCTATGTCTTGTGCTTATGCGACACAGCTGTCGCACATGGTGTGGCTGCATGCGTCGGAACTGCTTGAGGATCTCTTCAACATGGGACTGAGGACATCGAGTCAGATCGAGCGAGCATACAAACAGGACCGGCACTTGATGCTCCGTCTAATCGCATGCTACGCCAAAATGCAGGGCCTGTCTTTACATCTGTGGTCGAACATGACACAGGTCATAAGTGCCAGCGAGAACATTGCACCGTGTTTGATTCGGCGACGGGTAAGATACTCTACTTCATTTGGAACAGGTGTTCTTGATCCGCCGTAGACTCGTACTACTGGCAAGCCTGTGATCTTGTTGGACAAATCTCCAGCCGGAGAGGCTGCGCATGAACTTCTCAACGATTTGGAACGCTTCATCGTGGAAATCATCGTCAAGGATGTCAAGCTTCCGTTTACTCTATGTGATGTGCTACTCAAGGAACTTGTACGAGTATCTTTGTGTGTCATGCACAACTAAATGTAACCGATCTCTAGGCCCTAGATCCACATGCTGCTGATCGTTTCGACTCCGGCGCGTTCCACATTTTTGGGGAACTTGCGATCGGTAAGCATCGCTTCCTTTTCTGCTGCACAGCAGGGTTTCACTCAAAGACGATTTCAAGTTTATGAGTTCCTATCGCAAATGGAACAATCTACGTTCGGTCAGGGCCTCATGGCCTGTTCGCACGCTCTGGAGGGCACAGAGGACGATCTATGGGCGGTATTGTGCCCCGTGAATCGCCCCGAAGTCACGAAGCCGCTGTCCACCCATCCTGCATGGGGCCGCCTTTACGGCGCGGTCGTTGTTGTGCGCGCCGAATGGCGATTGACCTGCTGGCGCCTTAACATGCAGGGCCTCCAGGGGCCCAACGGCCTCCCTGCACGCATCGAGCGCCGTGATTATCTTGCTGGCGCTCAGTTCGATGAGGTGTGGCGCATGTTCGACCTGGTGCTCTGGGTCAGGTCACAGGAACACACACAGCCGGGACAGCACCGCGCGCTTGTGCGCCATTTCGGGTTGTACGATGTTGAGGACCCAGCACGCCCAACATGCACGGGTGTCCTCCTCCGCGAGATGGTGGAGCAGGTGCGCTATCTTGAGCTCCAGGCGCGGCATGCGGCCGCGGCTGCGAGGCCCAAGGCGCCTCACTCTGTCGCTGTTTCCCTGCCACAAAGTGCCGCCCAGTCTGGCCATGCATATCTCGCAAAGACTGGAGCTGCACCCAAGGAAAAAGTCAAGACTCGGAAAGTCGGGGTTTCTGAAACGGTATCGTCGCCAGCTGAAGATTCGGAGGAGGACACGGAAGACCGTCTCCCCGAGTTCTTACCTCCCGGATACAAGGTGGGGAAGAAAACCCTCAAGGTGTGCTGCCTTTCTGTTGCTTAGGTTTGGTTTGACACTTGGTAGGTCTTTCACCGAATCCTCGAAGACGATCGCACGGTCCCAGGAGAAGAAGAGAACTCTAGCGGGCTCAAAAAAGGCCAGATACGCTGGGACGTGTTCGAAAAGGTAATAATCCGATCTGTCGGCGTGCTGTGAGGTATTGACCAATTGTTAACGTTCAGGCCATGAGAAGGATCGGGTTTGGTGTCTGTCAGACGGCTGGATCGTCGGTTCGCTTTGATCCCCCGGCAAAAAGCGCACGTTCCATCACTTTTCACCGTGTTTGTTATTCATCTCCGTCCACTGATCTTGTTGGTCTAATACTCGCGTAGCCTCACCCAGACTCGTTGTTGACTCCGCACCTCATAAAATGGTGAGGATTCCTCAAGTCGTGGTGTGCATATTTGTGTTGCTCAACTGCTACCCAGGATTGGAGCTCGGCTGAACCGGAATTATGGGTGGACAAATTCTACTTTCTCGCAGGGCGCAGATACCGACTGACCGCCGGCTCCTCATAAACGGTCAACTTCTTGGCCGCTGAATGACGCGGGGAAATTCAGAAGGACGGGGAGCACAAAAATATACCAAGGCTTGTGAGTTCGATCGATATGTGTTCGTGGAGTGATGTGGCGAAAATCGGGATGATGCCCATTGAAGGTGGCAGCATTTACTTCGGCTATCTCATGAGTATCTCACAACGTGCATCATGTTCAAGACATAAACATCCAGCTACACTTGATTCCGGAATTCGTAAATCAAAATGTTGCCATTCTCCTGCCAACAATCTACGTCGTCCCTTTTACAGACTTCACACCGCTCGCAACCTCGTTCTGAAACTTGCACCGCCTACTTGACTCCGCCCAGGTGATGAGTCTATTCTTTTCGCTTGCCATCTTCCATGTAGTATGCTACATCTAGCAGGTATGAATTGCACTTCTCCACGGAGACGATATGGGTTTACCTTGTACTTTGAATACACTGCACCCACATTGATGTTGTTTTGGACTGGGAGGGGGCAAAATAATCGAAGACGATATGAGCTCAGCTTTAAGGCCCTGTAAGTTATTCTCAGCGATTTAAAAACCGGTTTTTGAACGGTTTATATAAACCGGGCGTTTATAAACCGGTTTTTAAACCAGTATCGGTACAGCGTCTAAAATACGACCGTATCAGCTTCACTATTCCAAAGTGTCTTCCCAACGGCCTGCTTCCCCTTGTCACCTTGATCTCAGCCCATTGCTGCGTACTAAATAACTGGCGAATGATATTTATATCAATATATTTTTGACCTGCGACTGAAGCTCACCTTCCACTTCCATACGCTCTTAACTTGAACGTCCGAGTCGTCTCCGCTGTCCAAGCTCAATCCTTCGTAGCTTCCCATCCGTATGATATCTGGTGGTGGGGGTAAAAGAGAAAAAGACGCTGGAGATTGAACCGAATGGCTTCGGGTTAGCAGGCATATATTGCTCCACGAAGACTATATCAGTGTACCTCGTAGTGACGAATTGAATATACATCCTTCTTTTCTCGCTGCATGTCTTCGGATGGGCGGCTCTCCCGTGGCTAATGATCATACATTCAAGCAGTGGAATGAGTTGCACATATTACTCCACGAAGACGATATCACTTCAGCTCATACCCTGAATATACTCGCTGGAGCTGCAAAAGCAAAAGCCACGACTTGTCTTCAAGTTCAAACCGCCGGGTGAGTAAGATATAAAAAACGGAACTTCAAAATGCAGAATATGTCTTCAGGTGGGTTCGAACCACCGACTCTCCCGGAATAGATATCTCAGGCCCAGCAAGTGGGAGTGAGTTGGACTACTCCACGAAGACGATATCGGCTTACCTTGTGCCCTGAATATACTCCCTCCTTTTTTGCTCCTTTTCTATGTTTTATGAGTAAAAACGGATTCGAGCACGGAGTGAGAAAATTCTGAATCCAGTTCACCCGAATTGCCAGCTCTTGCCCGTAACTTGAACATGCAGCCGGCCTAAAAGCCAGCGTCGGCCTAGTTCACGAGTCCACCCTGCAATAAAAATATTACCACCTGTCTGTTTGACTGTGCTTGACCCACCCGTGTAACGCGTAGTGTCACGTGTACACCCCTCCTCGAAGCCCTCCTCCTCTGGGACGCTGATCAAGCGCGCTGCCGCTTCGACCCCCACGGGCAAAAACATCGCCGCCTGCTCCTCAGATCGCAGCATCTCCCTCTGACGCACCTACGCGCCCAACGCCAACTACGGGCTTTTGGCCTTTTGACCAAGCGCCGATCCTCAACCTACAATGGTCGCTCGTCTCGCCGAGTCTTTATGCGGTGAGCGCGGCGCACCGCGAGGTCACCAACGGCGTCGTGTGCGTGCTCGCAGGGCCGGTGAGCTCCTCGCAACCACGTCCGACGACGGCTCCGTGCACTTCTGGGACTTACTCAACTCCAAGCACCCCTTGTTCGACGTTCGCGCTGGGCGTCCCCGTCACGGGCGTCGCAAGCATGCTGGCGGGGCACAGCGACACGCCGACGTCGCTCGCGCTGTCGCCGAACGGGGAGTTCCTATTGAGCCTAAGCCTGAGCTCGCAGACGCTCGTGCACGACGTGCTCCCGTTCTCGTCCGCGCCGAGCCGCGTGCACCGCACGCTGCTAAGGGGCGCGTGGTCGCGGCACGACGGCGGGAAGCTCGCGGCGGTGGACGGCGCGAACCGCATGGTGTGTGTGCGGGATGTGGAGAGCGCGCGGGTGGTGTACAAGCTCCTTTCTGCGTCCCGGTATCCGCCTTCCTGTTGCTCCGCCTTCCTTCCTACCTGCCATCCCCCCTTCCCTAGCATTCTTTTCACCCCATCATCCCCACCACGAGCAAGGACGGCACGATGCTGCTGGGCGAGGTGGACGCGGGGGTGTGAGGCTGCGATGTGGGCGTGAGCGGGGCGGGTGTGGCGAACGCATGGAGCTGCGAACGCGTGAGGCTGCGATCTTGGTGTGTGGGAGGGTGTAGTGCGCGCGCGACGGGTGTGGACACGGGTGCGGAGCCGATGCGGAGGTGCGCGGGGCCAGGCTGAAGGAGGCGTGCGGGTTCAAGCAAACCAGCAAGTTGCACCGCGGTGCGTCTGCCTTCGCGTCTAAACAATTGTCGCTGATTCCCGCTCAAGGAGCGCCACTTTCAGCATCATGGTCCTCGGGACGAACTTCTGGCCGCGCGCGCCGTTGACGCACGACTTCCTCGTCCCGCGTGCGGCTCGTCACGTACGCGCTACTACCAGACGGGACTGCTCCAAGCGCGGGATACCGGTACATCTACATGACGAGTGCGTTCCCTGCTCCTCCTTTATCGTCCTTCCTCTTCTTTTATGATTATACAGGGTATTGATTCTGACGCCTTTATTTTTCGGTATTAGGCGGTGCTGCTGCAGTACAACGCCGTCGACACGATGGTGCTGGACGAGCTCGTCGCCGCGACGGGCATCGAGCGCGGGCATGTACCTCGCGCAGGCCGTCGGGCTGCTCGTCAAGGCGAAGGTGCTCGTCGAGGGGAGGTGCTCGTTGAGGGCGAGGAGGAGTAGTATGAGTGCGTGATTTTCGATTTTTCGGGCTGTGCGCGTTACTGACGCGCCGCACCCCCACCACCAGGCTTCAAATCCAAGAAGATCCGCGTGAACGTCAACCTGCTCATCAAGGCGGAGAGCGTGGATGTGCTGAAGGCGGTGGACGAGGACAGGGAGTATGCCATCCAGGCGACGATTGTTAGGTGCGTGTCTGCGTTTGCTTGATCTCTCCCATGCCTCGTCCCATTCCCTCCCTCCCCTCTCTCTTGCTCCTCCGCTTCCCCTTACTCTTGTGCTTCTCCCTCCCCTCCCTCCCCGTCCCCCTCCCTTCTCCCACTTTGAAAAACGACTAACGCCCCCCCCCAGAATAATGAAGGCGCGCAAGACGGTGAAGCACCAGCCGCTCATCCAGAAGGTGACCGCGCCCAAGATCCTTGATATCAAGAAGGTGCGTTCCTTTACCGGGGGTTTTTTTTTCTTTTTTGTTCTGTGTCAGGAGGGGGCGGGGGGCGCGTACCGCATGGCGTGCACTGGTGTGTGTTTCGTGCTCGGGTGCGTGCGCTGTCGCGTCGGCGTTGGCGTCTCGGCGTATGCGTGTGGCTTGGCTGCCCTATGAGCTACGTACGCTCAGAGCCTCTGTACCCGACGTGGCCCTCGTTCCCGTCGGCGGAGGCGCAGGCGCGTTTTGTCTGGTGCGCGGACCATGTGGCGATGCCCGCCGTGCGGCCGCATCCGGGCTTTCGTGCCGTGTCCTTCGCGCGCCGCGTGTGTCTGCCGCCGCGGTCTGCGCGCCGTAGGGGACCAGCGTGGGCGGGCGGCGGAGGGCAGAGGGGGACATGCGGGCTGTGCCGTGCGATGCCGGCGGGCTGCGCTGCGCGATGCGGGCGGGCTTTTCCGTGCGATACTGTGCCGTATCATCCCCGCTTTTCTTTGGGGCTTCGCAGCGAACCGCCCCGACGCGCGGGCACACGCTGTGCTTTTTGCTTTTGTGTTCCGTGTGCTGCTTGTGTTTCGTGTGCAGCTTGTGCTCCGTGCGCCGCGAGCCGTGGACGACGTGGACGTGCGCGTAGCCCGATCTGGACATCGGGAGCCGGCGGGAGGCGGAGCGGCACAGGATGGATGCGCTACAGGCAGGCGGGAGGCGCAGCTACCCAGGCGACGGATGCGGCGGAGACGGGTCTAGGGACGCGCTTGCGTACGTCGCGTAAACATGTGCTCGTATGTAGGCGCGCGTGGGTGGCGGTGCATTGCGTAGGTGCGCGCGCGTAGGTGCGAGTCGTCGGAGACCATGGCAATAGATCTAGATGCTGCAGAGCGCCCCCCTTCTCCCTCTCCCTTCTCCACCCCGCTTTCCCCCCTACGTCTCCTTGTGCGGCGCCTCGTCCTGCATCGCTTGTAGAGCGCTCCGTCATGCACCGATCGCATCGATCGTAGAGCGGTTCGTCCTGCATCTCCTTGCATCGCATCGCTCCGTCCTGCATCCTGCATCGATCGTGAACAAAGCACTTCTTCCTCACATTGCCATTGCGCTCCTTCCCCCCTCACTCTCTCCCTTCGATGGAATTTGCAGAGCATTTCCTTCGATCGATGGAATTCGTAGACCTTTCCTGCCTCACTGCGCCCCTTCCTTTGCTACACGTGCCACTCCATTATTTATTTACCTACATGTCGCACGACACGAGAATAAGAATAAAGAATAGGAATCAGAATCAGAATGGCGATAGCGATTGTACGATCTCGCGCATACATCTTGCATATCTTCGCTCGCGCACATGTGTACAGTGTAGACTGCGAATCCAATCCAATGTATACCTTGCTCGAGACGCGCCTTTACAACTTGTTTTTAACTCAAGGCCAACCCATCACCAGCACAGCATAACCGGCACTGCTATATTCGGGAAGGTTCGGAACAAAGTCCAAAAAAACTCCGCTTCCCACCACATCCCTGATTCCCTCTTCAGTCCCTCTCAAAGCCCGTCGCGCAGCAGTATAGATGCATCCTGCCTTACAAATGGTTGAAATCGTGGAACTGATATGTGATGAGTCTGTCGATCCTGCCAACGATAATAGTGACCTAAAAACTCTCTGTGCTTTGGCAAGAACGGCCACCATCTTCACTCATAGCGCGCTCGACGGGCTATGGGAGTATCAAAATACACTCATCAATATCTTGAAGTGTTTGCCCACAGACCTGTGGGATGTTGAGTGTGGGCTCTTAGACAATGGCAGCTCGTTTGTGAGTAAAATCTCTCCGTGAAAGCATCCTTGGCCTGGCCAACCTATTTCCAGCATTTGCTTCGGCCAGTGAAACAGATTGATTTAGAGCGCCTCATCGTCCATTCTGCTCGCGTCAAGATCCTAGAGTTCTCCGGAGAAGACGTGACTCCCGGTATTTCTGGTCTTCTGGAACAAATACAGCCCTTTCTTCCGCAGGGTTTTCTGTTCCCAAATCTTCGAAGCCTCTTTTTCGAGATGGGGGAGGAAGAGGGATTTCTCGGTTCACATATTAGCCTGTTATTCCCGGCACTCTTACGGAACTAGATATTGGCCTCCAAAACATCGCCAATTGGTCCCTACTTCCCCTTCTACCGCCTTATTCACGTCAATATCACTCAACATGCATAGGGTTCCAAACCATATTGAGCATAGCCGCATTTCAACATTTGTACGGGCGCTGGACCGGTTGACGCACCTCCATGTGCCCGCAGTTGATCCAGCGGCGCTCAAACATGTTGCCAGCCTTGCTACTCTCAAATCCTTGAGGATGAGCCACGCAGACGCCGCCGATTTATCTACTGGACTCCCTCGGCCGAACGGATTCTGTGCGCTCAGATCTTTCTTTCCATGGAGCACCCTTCCAGTTCATCACCGACCTCATACACGGACTATCGAACAGTCCCGTTGCAAACCTCAATCTCAGCAAGTGCGACTTGCCCACCGAAAATATCATGAGAGCTCTCTGTCTCGCGCTCTCTACGTGCATCGCTCACAGCATGCTTTCAAACCTTCGGATAACCAATCGTTATTATGTCCGCTCCCCGGACATGGCCCGTGGTTTCAGCGGCCACGCAATCTCCCCGTTGTTCTGCTTCGGCAGCATGCTGAGTTTGGACTTGCACCTTCCAGGCAGATTCCAACTTGATGATGCCACAGTCTGGGACCTGGCTCGGGCATTCCCTGAGCTGTGGCACCTCTCATGGACGACATCTGATGGGGTGTATTACACTCCTCGCGTGATGCTTGACGGGCTCCGGGCATTCGCGATTCACTGTCCGCAACTGACCGTCATGCATATTGC